TTCGGTTCCCGGTACCGGAGAAAAACAAAAAAAAAAAACAAACAAAGAATTGTATCATGTATCCTACAAGATGCACATGCTGTTCATTCTATAAGGCAAGAATTCATCTGATTTGGTGAGAATCTCGGATGTCTCAGCTGAGTGTTACAAAGCACAAGTAGAAGCCTTCCCTCATAGCCTCTGCCAAGCTGGACAGTGAGGAGCGTGGCTCTCACACCTCGGCATGTCAGAACCACCTGGAGGATTCCCTTCACCGTGGTCACTGAAGTTGCCCACCCAGCAGGTCTAGGCAAGAGAATTCAGATTTCTGATGAGATCCAACTAGATGCCAGTGCCATCAAGCACATTGGGAGGTCTGTTTATCTAAATGTTTAGGATAATAATAATAATAATAATAATAATAAAAGAACCATTTAAAACCATGAGAGAAGACATCAGCAACAAGTAGCATTTCCTTTCTATTCACAATGCTATGCTTTGAATCTTCTCTTAGATGATATACGTGCACACATATGATATGCACATATATAATGGTGTGATTATAATAAGAAATGTATATGTTCATCTTTGCCCCTGGTTGCCCCTGGCTACCCAGTTACAACTGCGATTGGCACTTGAGATTAGTATCTGAAATGGCGATGCTCTTGTGGGACCAGGTCATGACTCTATGGGACCTGACGCCATCTCCAGATAGATACGTCTAACAGAGGTAAACGTAGAAAGCGCAGAGTAATTCTCCATTGGTGTGCGGAGGTGGAGCCCTCGTCAGCAATTTCCACCACGCCATGTGTGTCTCTTGTTTATTCACCTGCTAATGGCAAAAAGTAACTGCTTCCAGTAGGAAAAGCTTGAAAATGAAATGGAACCAGACAGAAGATCACAACATGCAGAGCAGCCTGAGGTCTCTGAGAAAAAACAACGCAGGCTGACCCTCCGCAGGCTGGACACAGTGCACCCGTGTTGGGTGACACGCTTTTATTGCTCAGGTTGACCCTTGACCCTGGTGTGGGTGGCTGTGTCTCCCTCGTGGCTCTAACTTTGTCACCCCTGGATCAGAAACTGACTGGTATGACCTTCCAAGTCCAGAGAAGGCAAAGAGATGCTGCAAAATTGCATTTTCTCTTCGAAGGCCTCAAGCAGAACTTGACCTCAAATAATAAGTATGAGCTGGGGGAATAAAATTGTGTCCTGACAGCAACAAATACCACGAACTAGAGAGGAGAGAGCCTTCTCCTCTTCCCCGCTCTCCATCCTTCTCTTTTTCCTGCTCCCTTCCTCTTTCCATGGAGAAGAACCATTTGCTTCCTTGCTTTGGCAGGGAAACCCCGTCCCTTCCATGTTCTCCCTCCGAGTAATGCTCTTGCTCCTTACCTTGGGAAGCCTGAAGCTCTCCCAGACTTGGCTCTACCCAGATCTGACTGGGTCTCTGGGCACCTGTGTTTCTCCAGAGTGCCCTGGGGTGGTTCCAGGGTGCACCCCAGTGCAAAAAATGCTGTGTGGTAACTTCTCTCCTATTGCCTTGCTCTTGCCCACATTATTCAAACTATAATAGAAAATATACTCATTGACCCAGGGTCTCTACAAATTACCCTTACACCTATGTTCTTCAAATATATATGGCTGGCTCTATTCTCCTGTTTGTTTGAATCCCCTCGATAATGAAGCCCTCCGCCTCAGGCTTCAGTCTCCAATGTCCTACAAAAGGTGTGTTCTTATTGGTTTGTTTTAACCACATCACTAATATCTTCCTACATTTTTCTCCATCCTCATCTTCCCCAAGTTTAATGCTGCATTTGATGCCAGAGACCATTTAATCTTTGACAGCCTCCCATGCCTCAGATCAGCAATGTTGCTTATCCTGTGTTTCATAACTTACCAACATTACTTCCTTATCACATTTACTCCCTTCTTACCCCCTACAACTGTAGCTCAGAAATTCCTTAATATTTCATGTTAGGCAATGACTGCAACTTGAGAACATAATGGTAAGTGAAGTAAGTCAGATACCCATGCTTAAAATCCCTTGTCTTCTCTTGTATGAGAAACTCAATATATCTATCTCTATTTATCTCTATCTCTATCGTCTCTAGCATCTCTATCTCTATCTCTAACTCTATCTATCTCTATCTCTATGTCTATCTCCCTCTCTTAGAGAGAGCTATCTATATCTTTAGAGATATGTATAGAAATATCAATAGAGATATAGAGAGATCAAAATAGAAGGTAAATAGGAAGTAGGGAAAAATGCAAATGATTTCCCAAATTATCTTCTCTGTTATTTCAAAAATATCTTATATATCGCTAATTTGCTTCATCTACATTACTAGTCTCTCTTAGTTCACTGAAGAGAAAGTTTTGTATTTTTATCTGTTTCTTTTTTGTAAGAGAGTCTTTTTTTCTCTGCCTTGTACCCTCAACATTTTGGCCATTCTTTTAAGATTATGATACACAGCATATTAACTATTGTTATTCCTATTTTATTATGAAGTTTTGTTTTTTTTATAGAAGTAAAAAGAATGCTCTTAAATATTTTCTGTATTAATATCTACTTGTATTACATTAAAATTTAAAGAAAGAAAAATGGGAAAAATTGTTCCACACATTTCCATTTTCCCTTTGTAATCTCATCCATTTGCAGGATATTTTTCTTGTGCTTATTTGCCATACGTGTGTTCTTTGGAACAGTATCTATTCTTTGGAATATTATCTGCTTATCTCTTTGGATGAATTTCAATCTGTTTATTGAACATACTAACAAGAGCAGTAATATATCAGATAATGAATACATTATTATTGCTGAGTTTCAGGGGTTTTTCATACAGCCTGGTACAAGTCCTTTGCCAGACATACGATGTGTACATATTTTCCCCTGGGCTATGACGTGACTTTTCATTCTCTTTGTGGTGTCTTTGGAAGAGAAGTTCATAATAATGATAAAGTGCATTTTTTTCTTGTAGAACATTCTTTTGGCATCATATTTAAGGCATTTTTGCCTGAGCTGATAAAGATTTTGTCCCATTTTTTCAGAAGTTGTATAATTATAGATTTCACATTTAACTCTAGGATCCATTTTCAATTTTTGTGTATAGCTGAT